TCAAACTAGTGTTTTATTAAAACACTTATTATTATTATTAAAATAAATTGGTGCAATTGTGTACTTTATTTTAGGGGCAAATGCTACTAAGCATTTTGAAAAATAGAGAAAAAAAGGACACATTTTGGCCCAAATAGATTTCTCCCCTATTTTTTCAATATCAACAAGTAAATTTCCACTATAATTATACATGTAGTCTGTTGTTGATTGGGTTACTAGATTGTATGAGGGAAATGTTGACTGCATTGCAGCCTGTCTGTTCTTAGTTGGTCTGTCTGTCCCTCTGTCCACATGTCATACGAAAGCAAGAGAATGCTTTGATCAAATTTCATGAAATTTGAATGGAACATTTCATTTGATGGAAGAAAGCTCCATTTTAATTTTGAAAATCATTTGGTTTGTCATTCCAGAGATGCAGGACTATAACCATCAGATTTAAGACAATTTTTTACATATCACTCACTTTTTTTAACTTGATTATTTATGCTTTGATTGATTTACGCTGTTAATGAGATTGATAAAAGGAAGCTCTCCTTTCCATTTTGAACAATTATCTGGTTGTGGTTCCAGAACTATTTTTAGGGAATTTACCTGTAAGAATATTTCCATTTCTATGTAGCAACATTCCAGCAGCACCTGCATATGGAGTATATATCTCCCAGCTGAGACTATATTCCAGAGCTTGCATTTTCTATCATGATTTCCTTGATAGGGGGTTGCAGCTTACAAGGAAGCTATTGAACCAAGAGTTCTAAGTGGTAAAGTTGAAATCATCCCATTTGAAAATTTTACGGACACCATCACAAGTTGGTTGACAGTTAAGGAATATCTGTTTTACAGATGAGGGATAATATAATAATGTTCAAATTGTTGTAACCACAATCCTGTCATCTTTTCCTCAAATATGACCTACCAAATAAGACTTCGTTATCACCTGGTTTGTACTTTAATGAACAACACTACAGATGCCTCATGTGGAACAGGATTTGCTAACCCTTCTGGAGCTTCTGAGATCCCCCAGTTTTTGGTGAGGTTCCTGTTGTCTGTAGTTTTCTGTGTTGTGTACTATTGTTTAATTGTCTTTTCATTCATTTTTCTTTTGATGCCATGGCCTTGTCAGTTTGATTTCAACTTATGAGTTTGAATGTCCCTTTGGTATCTTTCACCTCTCTCTTATCCATTTAGAGCAAAATTTTGAAACATTGTTTTTCTCAGTTTTCTGCATTTTACTTGTAAATGAACTACCATCTGTTTTTATATGACCGCAAAAAATTTTGCGGTTGTATATTGGTATGACGTTGGCGTCGTCGTCATCGTCTGAAAACACATTGGTTTTCGCACTCTAACTTTAGTTTAAGTGAATGGATCTCTATGAAATTTTACCATAAGGTTCAATACCACAAAAGGAAGGTTAGGATTAATTTTGGGGGTTATGGTACCAACATTTAAGGAATTAGGGGCCGAAAAGGGGCCAAAAATAAGCATTTTTGTAACTTCCAGACATAACTTGTGTGTTAGTGTATGGATCTCTCTGACATTGTACCACAAGGTTCCATATCACAAAGGGAATGCTGGGATTGATTTTGGAGGTAATTGCCTCAAAATTTTAGGAATTAGTGGCCAAAAAAAGGGCAAAAAACAAGCATTTTTCTAGTTTCATGATAATAACTTGTGTGTAAGTGTATGGATCTTTCTGAAATTGTACTACAAGGTTCCATATCACAAAGGGAAAACTGGAATTGAGTTTGGGGGTAATTGCCCAAAACGTTTAGGAATAAGGGGGTCAAAAATAAGCATTTTTCTAGTTTCCAGACAATAACTTGTGTTCAAGTGTATGGATCTCTCTGAAATTGTACTGCAAGGTACCATACCACAAAGGGAAGGCTGGGATTGATATTGGGGGTAATTGCCTCAAAAGTTTAGGAATTAGGGGCCAAAAAGGGACAAAAAACAAGCATTTTTCTAGTTTCAGACAATAACTTGTGTGTAAGTGTATGGATCTTTATGAAATTGTACTACAAGGTTCCATATCACAAAGGGAAAGCTGGGTTTGAGTTTGGGGGTAATTGCCCTAAACGTTTAGGAATTTGGGGCCAAAAAGGGGCCTAAAAACAAGCATTTTTTCTAGTTTCCAGACAATAACTTGTGTTCAAGTGTATGGATCTCTCTGAAATTGTACTGCAAGGTACCAATACCACAAAGGGAAGGCTGGGATTGCATTTGGGGGTGATGAATCATAAGGGGGTTCAAAAAATTTGGGGGAGGGATTTTTTTTTCTTTAAAATTTTCCATTTTAAATTGGTTATTTCTGATTTATATATAAAAGCAAATAATAATGATATGGTTTGAATAGGTAAATTCAAAATTTTTAAGTTCTTAGACCACATTCATTCTGTGTCAGAAACCTATGCTGTGTCAAATATTTAATCACATCCAAATTCAGTGCTGTATCAAGCTTGAATGTTGTGTCCATACTTGCCCCAACTGTTCAGGGTTTGACCTCTGCGGTCATATCAAGCTGCACCCAGCGGAGCATTTTATTTTAAATTAATCTTTAAGATAGTCTAAGGATTAAAGTTTCAGAGATCAATAATTTTGTCAAACCTTCATGGAATTTTACAAAACTTGGATTGAAGCTTTTTTATGATCAAAAGAGACTAACAAGGACAAAATGTGGAATCATACTAGGCCTAACATTCTTGAATATCTAGTTTTTAGTCCCTTCCCGATGAAGTCGAAGGGGACTTTAGGTTTGCACTCCATCCGTCTGTCTGTCTGTCCACACTTTTTTTCTTCTTGCTTAAAGATATTGATTTGATATTTGGTATATAGTTTTATCATGACAAGTTACAGATCAAGTTCGAATTTTATCTAGGTCTGATGATTTTGTCCAGAGTTATGGTCCTCGGACTTAGAAAATTCACTCAAATAATCAGTTTTCCGCATTTTTTTCGTCATGCATGCAGATATTCATTTGATAATTTGTATTTAGTTTTATCATGACAAGTTACAGCTCAATTTCGAATTTTGTTCCGGTCTAATGATTTTGTGTAGAGTTATGGTCATTGGACTTAGAAAATTCAATAAAATAATCAGTTTTCCACACTATTTTTTGTCATGCTTGAAGATTTTGATTTAATAATTGGTATATAGTTTTATCATGACAAGTTACTTATCAAGTTTGAATTTTGTTCTGGTCTGATGATTTTGTGCAGAGTTATGGTCCGTGGACTTGAAAATTCACTCAAATAATCATTTTTACCCACTTTTTCTCGTCATGCATGAAGATATTGATTTGATAATTTGGATATAGTTTTATCATGACAAGTTACAGATCAAGTTCGAATCTTGTTCTGGTCTGATGATTTTGTGCAGAGTTATGTTCCTCGAACTTAGAATATTCACTCAAATAATCAGTTTTCCACACTTTTTTTGTCATACTTAAAGATATTGACTTGATATTTGTTATATAGTTCACACCATGACAAGTTATAAATCAAGTTAGCATTTTGTTCCAGTACAATGAATTCTTAACCGGTAGGGGACTATGTATTGACTTATTAAGAAGGGATATAGTTACGATACTGTTGTCAGGTCATTAAAGATTGCATATTTTGGCATTAATATTGATTCACTTATAGGGTCTTTGCATCGGCACTAAACACATTTATTTAAAAACCAGTTGTTGGCATGACACGGGTTATGTTCTTCTCATATATGTTATGATGGTATGATATTAAACCCCTAACGGGAAGGATTGTGCCTGATATTCATATGATGAAGACATAATCTTTCAATCAGTTTAATTGAAGTCTGGAGCTGGCATGTCAGTTAACTGCTAGTAGTCTGTTGTTATTTATGTATTATTGTCATTTTGTTTATTTTCTTTGGTTACATCTTCTGACATCAGACTCGCACTTCTCTTGAACTGAATTTTAATGTGCGTATTGTTATGCGTTTACTTTTCTACATTGGCTAGAGGTATAGGGGGAGGGTTGAGATCTCATAAACATGTTTAACCCCGCCGCATTTTTGCGCCTGTCCCAAGTCAGGAGCCTCTAGCCTTTGTTAGTCTTGTATTATTTTTAATTTTAGTTTCTTGTGTACAATTTGGAGTTTAGTATGGCGTTCATTATCACTGAACTAGTATATATATTTGTTTAGGGGCCAGCTGAAGGACGCCCCCGGAGTGCGGGAATTTCTCGCTGCATTGAAGACCTGTTGGTGACCTTCTGCTGTTGTCTGTTCTATGGTCGGGTTATTGTCTCTTTGACACATTCTCCATTTCCATTCTCAATTTTATTGCCATGCAATTCTCTCAGAATGCTTGTTTTACTATTTTTTTATGTTTTTTTGCCCATTACACATGTATTTTAAAAACTATTATAGATAGAGGGAAACTTTGAATAGCAAATTAGATCAGCAAAACAAAATTTACCAATAAGTCAATATGGCCAAAATTGTGAGTCTAATCCTTATAGCAGTTATTGCCCTTAAAAGACAATTTTTACCAATATTTATAGATTTTGCTCATTGTCTTAAGAATTATGATAGAAAGAGAGAACCTTTAAATAGCAAAAAAGATCAGCAACACAAAATCTTCAAAATAAGTGATTAAAAGTCAATATTATGAATAGAAATCTTCAGTGATAGGCCCTGAATAACAATTTTAACATTTGTTTTTGGTTATTGTCCATTATCTTGAAAACTATAATATTTAGAGGGAAACTTTTAAACAGCAAAAATTATCAGCAAAACAAGATAAAAAACAGAGATTTAAGTCACAAATTATATTCTTTGTACTGTTGAAGATGCACAATGATTCAAGTGAGCAACACAGGCACTTTAGAGCCTCTAGTTTAGTTGTAATATTATATAAAACTTAAACATGAAGTTAAAATTGGAAAACTATAAATCTGAATGTGATAAAGTGAACTGAATAATTTCAAGTAGCTGATAATTTTTCCCAAATTTATACTATTTTTTTTTTATTATTTTAGGGCAGATATTGATGAACACCTGTCTAAATCACCTGAATTAAGAAAAGCAGAAAAGCTAGTAGGTGACTTATCTGGTATAAATGATGATGTCAAGTCACTTGTTCATGTAAGTTCATTTAGTCTATATAATTGTTTGTTTGTTTGTTGGTATTTACTGACACTTTCAGCTACTGTTGCTATATCAGCCTGTTTTTTTTTATTGGTGGAGGAAGTTGTTGTAGTACCTGGAGAAAACCACAGACCTGTAGCGGGAAAACTATTAATAAATTTCAATTAAGATCTCTAACTGTGAGTCTAACACCTCTACCTCAGAGTTGATAGACTAGTAATCACTGTAGAGACCACTTGACCACTTGGAGGCCTCCTTAAGTGAACGATTGAATAAACAAATGGGGTAGATACAAATGAGAAATCTTAAACAATTTGCATAACTCATATTATTTTAAGGACTCTGTACAGTCTTCAGTGGTAAATAGTGTGCTTCAATTGGTTAAGAATTGCTTTAGGAAAACACATTAAGCAGATATACATTGTAACTTTGCTATCAGGAATATGTCAACCAAGTAGTTCTTAAATACAATTCAGTTTATTTTATAATGAATAGAATTGATTCCAAGACATGATACAATGAGAACAAGTTAATGGTCATCTTGTGCTTGAGTTATCTATTACAATGCTGTTTTAGTTGCTAGTCAAGTGATATCCTGCAAATATCTAGAATACCTGAAGAAAAAAAAAACTATATTACAATATTAAGGCAGCTTTCACAAAAAAAATCCATTAACCTCATTTCTTTTCAAGTTATATGAGTGCTTCATTTGCTCAAGCACATTTTCCAAAAATTTGATCTTTAATCTGTAAAATTTTTAGGCTGTTCCAAAGAAATGTGTATCTTACCACTACTCACGCCTTACTATGTACTGTTCCCCAATTTTATACATGAAAAAGCATATAACTCTAAAACAGGAGATTATTTTTGCAGTTGATTTATTTATTGGATTTTCAAATGAACTGCTTGAAATTTGCAAGGGGTCTATTTATTCAAACATTTTTGGTTCAAGCCTCTACATCAAACAGCTTGATATATTATACCTTAGAATATAATTGATTACTCCAGTAAATGTTTTTCAACCATTAACCTTGTCTTATAATTTCTACACATAATTTTGATTGAATATTTCAGAAAATAAGATTAAAAGAACATTTATTGTTTCTTTGTCACATGGTATCTCTCAAAAAGTCATGTTACTTGCTCCAAAAAGTTTTAAAAATCTACAATTTAAGTGTGGAAAAATGATGAACAGACATATTATTTCCAAAATAGGATATAGTTTAAGTGCACTTATCCACCTAAATTCTCAAAAAGAACATAATCTCCTCTTATCTTAACTTCTGCATGTTTTTAATTGTCTTTTTGAAATTTAAATTTAAAATAACACTATATACCCAAACCAAAACTGCAAGCATTAATTACAAGCATGCAGCATTTTCATTTGTATGACGTCAGGTTTTACATTAATGTAAAAGATCATTCATGAAATTTTGCGTAATTTTATTTTATTATAAATTTGTACATTTGCCAAAGCTATAATGCATTATTTCTTTATGTGATGCATTAGAACAGGAATAACAGTTCTGTAGTGTTTTTGTTTCAATATTTCAATTTTCTTGAAACCCCAGGATCTCATGCATGTGTATTGCACATGAATAGGATACGAAAAAAGTTTCAGCAACATCGTCTATGGGAGTGTAAACCAATGGAAAAGATTCAAACAGACCAATCCCATTTAAGTATTTAAAGATATGCAAATCATGTAAGAATTATAATCTAAATTTATTATCTGAATATTTGTCAATTTTAACTCTGTGAAAGTTTTTGAATCAACTCTTTGAATAATTGTGAGTTGTGTCTATACTGATGCTGAATGAAAAAGGAATAGAAGTCTGATCACTTAATTATGATTAAAGGCTTTTGTGACATTTTTGAAATGGAGAAAGATGTTAAAAAGGGTAGGTAGGCACCGCAACATCAAACAATCTAAATTTTACTTTTGGCCCTATTTCATTTTTTAATTAAGTAAATGATTCTGTGTACAATAACATTATGATTTGGTTTAATTCCTTCTCCCATTAACATACACTTGAATTTCTATAAATCTAATATTTTCATTACTTTAATTACAATATACAAAAAATGTACTTGATAGATTATCTTTCAGTCAAACAATTTCGTTTTAAATGATTTTAGTCATTTGTGGGTTAGATAGGGATAAAATATATGTCAGTATGTTGAGCAAAGGTATGAACATCTTAATTAGGATAGTTTGCATATTACATCTTAGATAAATGTGCTAATTGGTAGAATTAACATATTTCTGTAGATCAGGTTGAATAATGTACTTAAAAATACAGACAGATGCTTGAAAAATGTCAAACTATCAAGCATGCAGGTATACAGCTTGCCATGAAACATAGAACAAGTCTTTAAAGAGCCAAAATTATCAGCACGACAAAATCTACAAATGTGGCAAATGGCCAAAATCTATATTTGGTGTATGGAAAGATTTTACGATGTACATGTCAGTCTGGCAGGATTTATTTGACCTTGACCTCATTTTCACGGTTCATTGCTCAATGTTAAGTTTTTGTGTTTTGGTCTGTTTTTCGAATACTGTATGCAGTAGGTCAACTATATTTGGTGTAAGGAAATATTTTACAATGTACATGTCAGTCTTGGCAAGTTTCATTTGACCTTGACCTCATTTTCACAGTTCATTACTCAATGTTAAGTTTTTGTGTTTTGATCTGTTTTTCTAATACTGTATGCAACAGGTCAACTATATTTGGTGTATGGAAATATTTTACGAGGTATATGTCAGTCTGGCAGGTTTTATTTGACTTTGACCTTATTTTCATGGTTCATTGTCTATGTTAAGATTTGTGTTTTGGTCTGTTTTTCTTAAACTTTAAGCAATAGGTCAACTATATTTGGTGCATGGAATGATTGTAAGGTATATATGTCCGTCTGGCAGGTATCATCTGACTAGAACCTCATTTTCATGGTTCATTGGTCAATGTTCAGTTTTCCTGGTTAACTTTGTTTCTTAGATACTATAAGCAATAGGTCAACTATATTTGATAGATATAAGAAGATGTGGTATGAGTGCCAATGAGACAACTCTCCATCCAAGTCACAATTTGTAAAAGTAAACCATTATAGGTCAAAGTACGGCCTTCAACACGGAGCCTTGGCTCACTCCAAACAGCAAGCTATAAAGGGCCCCAAAAATGACTAGTGTAAAACCATTCAAACAGGAAAAACAACAGTCTGATCTATATAAAAAACGAGAAACGAGAAACACTAATGAACCACATCAACAAACGACAATCACTGAACAACAGGTTCCTGACTTAGGACAGGTGCAAACAAATGCAGCGGGTTTAAACATTTTAACAGGCGCCAACCTTCACCCTAACCTGAAACAATAGTGTAACATCACAACATAGAAAGACACACTATAAAATATCAATTGAAATGGCTTAACAAAATCAAGACATATAAACAAAAACGAGTAAACATACACTTAAAGAATAAAATTGATCTATGAAGCAATGTAAATACAAAATTAATAAAAAAAAAAAAGGGGGGGGGAGATGTAAAAAAAATATCAGAAAGATAACCATAACCTTGGACAAAATGCCGCCCAATAAAATAACGTACACAGGTAAATAAAAATAATTTTGTTGTAAGGTATACATGGAGTATGGAAATATTTTTTTGTTGTTCATAGTACGAGAACAGAAGTGAAAATTTATCTTCATACCAAACACTTATCAAATGTGGTATATATTAAAAATAGTGAGACGAGATATAACACTAAATAAGTAAACATTAAATAACAAAAATGCATTACGAAATGTATCAACAGGTCAAATTAACACGAAAGTACGATTTGAGAGTACTCGCAATTACTGAAAGCTAGTTAAAAGCCAAAAACAATTAGTAATAAAAAATCATGCATCAGAGACTAAAATCAACTAAAACACATCCCAGGGATTTAGTGTTTTAACGTCATGGACAGTCAAAGAAGACATGACTTGTGCAATGCCAAAATAAAAGTATCGACAGGCAGTAGGATAGTTAGCAGTTAACCTTTTAATAAATATGTATAATGTTATATATAGATAAAGTAATCTCTATCTAGAAAATGAACGTGGATGTGTATTTATACATCCCAAAAACCGTTTGAAAAGAATACAAATTTAGTTATGTTTTAATTTGCTGATGACAAAATCGATATTTGTGCCAGTTTTACTATATTCAAAGATCTAATTACAACATTGGTAAGATAACCTTTACTAATAAGTTTGTTTAAAGGTTCGATGAGTTTACACGGATCACATAGTGATTTCCGCACTTTTAGTACAATATTACCGTAAATAAAGGCAACAGTAGTATACCGCTGTTCGAAACTCATAAATCGATAGAGATAAAAACAAATCTGGGTTACAAACTAAAACTGAGGGAAACGCATCAAATATAAGAGGAGAACAAAGACACAACAAAAACACAACATTGGAATGTAACACACACAGAGACGAACTATAATATAACAATGGCCATTTTCCTGACTTGGTACAGGACATTTTAAGAAAAAAATGGTGGGTTGAACCTGGTTTTGTAGCATGCCAAACCTCCCGCTTTAGGATGTGAAATACTGTTTTTAATCAGTTTTCTACAGGTACAGCCAAATTTACTAATCAAATCTTTGTATCTATGAAAGAATTTAGTAAAAGTTTTAAGTAATTAATGGTAACGAAATCCCTGACTTAATAATTTACCAGTGATGCATTGATTACGTTCGTTAAAATCTATGACATCACTACACACACGGGCATAACGAACGAGTTGGGATATATAAACACCGTATGATGGAGCCAAAGAACATCGCCGTCTAAAAAAGGAAAATTAACAATAGGGAATGAAAAATCGTCTCTTTTGTCGTAAATTTTAGTATGGAGTTTCCCTTTAGAAATTGAAATGTCTAAATCTAGAAAAGGACAACTACTGCGGTTTATGTTAGATTTATTTAAAGTAAGTTCCTTTGGGTAAATTTCGGTAGTATATTTAGAGAACTCTGGATTATTTAACAAAAAAATATTATCAAGATAACGGAAGGTTTTGTTGAATGTATCATCCAAATGTAACAATGATGTGTCTTTTCTGAGTTTGGTCATAAACTGAGATTCATAGCAATACAGGAATAAATCTGCTACTAAAGGGGCGCAGTTAGTGCCCATAGGAATACCTACTACCTGTCGATACACTTTATCGCCGAAACGTACATATATGTTGTCCAGGAGAAAATTTAAAGCTTCAATCATATCTTCACATTTCCAGTAAGTGTATCTAGCATACTTTCCTTTATCGTTACAGAAAAAGGCTTTAAACGAGTTACAGCAAATAGATTTGCAATGAGATTTTTCAAAAGACCATTTAATTAAATTTGAAAACTTTTTCTTGATAAGATTGTGTGGAAGTGTAGTGTAGAGAGTAGAAAAATCATAAATGTCAACAGAATTAAAAGGACCATCAAAAGCATGTATTTTATCTAAAACCTCTAAAGAATTTTTAACACTCCAAAAATAATTAATACCATTATTTTCATAAGCTTTATTACAAACGTTAATAAGTTCTTTGATAGTAGTAAGGGAGGTAGTTAGAAGCACTGACAAATAAGTAGTAGAATACTTACTAGATGCAGAGATGAAAGGGAATTTAAATGGTTGTTTGTGTAATTAAGGTAACCAGTACATAGTCGGGACTTTCAAATGTTCGGAAGAGGCTTTAAGCTGGGTAGTGGCAGTGATATGCTTGTTTACAATTTGACTCTCTGTGGAGCGTACAGACCTGAATGTAGAAGAATTGATAATTTCGTTTTGGAGAACTTCCATGTAGTATATGCGTCACACCACCACTACATTATTGGCTGCTTTGTCTGCCAGTACAAACACAAACCGCTTTGCGAGTACTTGGAGTTTATTTTTTATTCTAGAAATGGGTATATCATGGGCCCTATTATTAATTTCAGAGTTGTTTTCAAAATGAGATATACGAATATCAACAGTATTCATAATTTTATTCAAAAATCTGTCTAGAGATTTTTCACATTTACACCAATTTTAACAGTAGGCAGACAGAGTGTCTTTAAAGACCTGACGACACTGTTTCCAATCTATCATAGATGGAGGACGATATTTAGGTCTTTAAGAAAAGTTTTGATGATGTTGAGGTCTCCTGTAATGACATGACCATAGGGAACATATCTAAAACTAGATGTTTCACAGTCTCAAGTGGAAGGAGCATTATTTTCTATATTGACGTCTGATGTAACTGACGTATAATTAAAAATCAAACTTCTGCTGGTTTTTTTTATAAGAATACAAAATAATAGGTGGTTCTTTATTATCAAAATATGGAGGTATTTGGCTATGGATGGTAGACTCATTGAATATACTAGATAAGTTAATAAAATCAATACCTCTATTTATATATTTTAATTTAAGAAAATGCCGTTTATGATTTTCAGGTTTATCGATACTAGGAAACAGCCTGTGATGACAAAAGGCTGTAATAATGCGGGTGTATTCATACAACGGGCTACAAAATGAAATTTTATCACACTCCTGAAAAATAGCATGCATGGAATGATTTTTAGGTGTACATGTCTGTCTGGCAGGGTTCATCTGACCTTGACTTCATTTTCATGGTTCAATGGTCAATATAGAATTTCCATGGTTTGGTCTGTTTCTTTTATACTATAAGCAATAGGTCATCTATATTCTGTGTATGGAATGATTGTATTAAAGGTGTACATGTATTTCGGGCTTAGTTTATCTAACCTTGACCTCATTTTCTTGGATCATAAATGTTAATGTGATACTTGTAGTGAAACTTTATATGTAGGACTATCAACATAAAATCAATGGTCAGTATAGTAGGCGAGACATTTCAGCGTGTGCACTATTGTTTGAGTTTTTAACCGGATTTTCGAAGGAAATATCGGTTATTGATTTGGGGATGTAAGGCAGACGGGTGGGCGGACGGGCGGCTGCCAAACAGTATCTCTTCAAAAACATGAAAACGCTGTGATGAATTTTTTTTCAAATTTAGATATGTTGTTTCTTGTGACTAAATGAAGGTCAAGTTCAATTTTCACGATTTTAGTATTTCTCCTTTGAGTTATCGCCATTTTTAATATCCAAAAGTGGTATTTTTAAATATTTTTCTCTTGTTATCATATTATGACTAAGCATAGTAAATGTCTTATCTCAAAATAAAATTTGGAGTGACAGATTTATTTGAAAATTTTCTATTTCCTAAGTGGTGATGATTATAAGCTATATTATTAGACATTTTGAAGTTAATTACATTATTTAATTATTATATATGTAATGTTAGAGTACTATGTTAAACCATAGTTCTTTTCAAAGGGAAATAACCCTTCAGATTTGCAAGTATGATTTTCATTATTAATAAGATCTTGGAAATATCTTAGCATATGATAATCATTGGGAGTGACAGATTTATTTGAAAATTTTCTGTTTTCTGATAAGATCTGTAGGACTGTATATATAAAGTTTGAAATTTACTAGTAGGACATTATAAATGAAGTTTGAAATTTACTGTTCATTCATTAGACATTTTGTAGATAATTAAGTCTCCCTAAACCATATATATTCTTACCCCCATCCCCCTTCAATTTGAGAATGTGCTTTTATCTTGTAATCGGTCGAGATCCCCACCCCTAAACCATATATATTCTTGTATGGGACAATAAAACAAATCAAATGAAATGTTGGGGAGTCCAAGGGTTCACCCCCACCCCCCTTCTTTTTGAAAACTTGTAAACAGTCAAGATCCTCACCCTGAAACCATATATATTCTTGTATGGGACAATAAAACAAATCAAATGAAATAAAAGGGCAAGTCCCCTGGGCTCACCCTCACCCCCTCCTGTTTGAGAACTTGTAAACGGTCGAGATCCCCACCCCTAAACCATATATATTCTTGTATGGGACAATAAAACAAATAAAATGAAATATAGGGGAAGTCCCCTGGGGTAACCCCCCCCCCTCCCCCCCCCCCTTCTTTTTGAAAACTTGTAAACGGTCAAGAACCCCACCCAAAACCATATATATTCTTGTATGGGACAAAAAAACAAATCATATGAAATAAAGGGCGAGTCCCCTGGGAATCACCCCCCCCCCCCTTACTGATAAGTTTTATAAATTTTGAAAAGACATTGTATTAATGATAAATAAAATTATGGATTTATTTTCTTCTTTTCTTTGATAAATTGTTTGAAGAATTTTGTGGCAAGTTTGTTTGTTATTCTGTAAAAACTAATTTTCTGAATGCTATATATATTTTTTTGATGAAGTGAACTCCTTTAAAAACTAAGCTTATATTGTCTATTAATAAACATGTATTTAGATTTCTGATTTTGGGCCCAGTTTTCAAGTTGGTCCAAATCGGGGTCCAAAATTAAACTGTGTTTGATTTCAACATAAATTGAATATATATAGGGTTCTTTGAAATGCTTAATCTAAACCTGTATTTCTTTTCATTATTAATAAGATAATACCACATTGAGGTCCAAAGGGTCCTAAATTATACTTTTGTTTAATTTCATCAAAAATTGAATTCTTTGGTTCTTTGATATGCTGATTCTAACAATGTTTGAGTGTTAAATCATATCTAATTTTAGAGAACTTAGTCATCACTGGTTGTTGTTATTATATTATTGATTATAATTTGAAAAATTGCATCATATCTTACTTTAGAGAACTATTTATCCAGTTTGAGTTATTTCCCTTTGCACAGAAAATATTATAGATAAAATTAACCTGTGTTTCATTTCAACATAAATTAAATATATATAGGGTTCTTTCAAATGCTGAATCTAAACCTGTATTTAAATATTAGATTTTTGGGCCCAGTTTTTAAGTTGGTCCAAATCAGGGTCCAAAATTAAACTTTGTTTGATTCACAAAAATTGAATTTATGTGGTTCTTTGAAATGCTGAATCTAACCATGTATTGAGAGATTTTGGATTGTGGGCTCCTTTATCAAATTGGTCCACATTGAGGTCCAAAGGGTCCTAAATTAAACTTTTGTATGATTTCATCAAAAATTGAATTGTTGGGGTTCTTTGATATGGTGATTATAATATGTACTTAGATTTTGGATATTGGACCATAATAGGTTAATGTCCAATGTCAAATATTTCAGTTCTTTGACCACATTCATTTTGTGTCACAAACCTATGCTGTGTCAAATATTCAATCACAATCCAAATTCAGAGCTGTTTTAAGCTTAAATGTAGTGTCAGGGTTTAATCTCTGCAGGAAAATCCGGTTTGCTGTCACTCTGACAGCCTCTTGTTGCCTATTATTTTGAAATTGTAATAGATAGATAAAAACTTAAAATAGCACAAATGATAAGCAAGACAAGATCTACAAATAAGTCATATGGCTGAAATCTTAAGTCAACTCTTTATTGGAGTTATTGCCCTTTAATGATAATTTTCAACATTTTTGTGCATTTTCTGCCTATTATCTTGAAAACTATAATAGTTAAAATGAAACTTTAAAAAGGAAATCAGATAAGATCTACAAATATGTCAACATGAATGAAATTGTCATTTGACTCTTAAAAGAGTTATTCTCCTTTAATAATGATTTTTACTAAAAAAAAAATGGCCATTGTTGAAGATGCAGGTGAGTAACACAGGCTCTTTAGAACCTCTGTTTTTTGTAACATAATGGTTTAAATTGAAAATAAATATAAGCTGTAATAATCCATTTATATTTTTAATATTTTTTTATTAGGAGGTTGACAGATGTAAATTATTAGAGGACAGGAAAAAAAAGGTAAAGCACAACCATTTTTATGACCTTGAATGACATTGTCTTCCAGTATCTCACAAATGGGTTTCCATTCAATAATTTGTCAAAAACATTTAAAATTTTATCATTGTAAGGCTTAAACACTAGTCAAGTAGAATTTGACTGTTATCATTTGTCATTTCAAGGTTTATAGGGAAGTAAATAGACAGATTCTATGTTTCTGCTCATGCAATGATTGAGGATGCTCAAATAAAACCTTTGAAACTTAAAGGAAATAGAAGATACCTTTTAACACTATTGAGGTTGAATTAAACAATTTTGTAATTTAGAATTTGTTCCCTTTGATATAAATATAAAGACTAGCAAGGTTTCATATTTTTTGGATTCAATGACTTGAGTAACAAGACAAAAAAGTTTATGCTTGTTGATGATGTTTGTTAAGTTTCACAAACACTTTTGGAAAAATCTTCACTTCTGAAACATACAGACCATTTTAAACCAGGTTTTAGCTGATTGCTTTAAGGGTATCTTGTATAAAATGTTTTAGCTCAGCTGGCCCAATGGCAAAGTGAGCTGTTCTCATCACTTTGCGTCCATTGTCATCTGTCATTGTCTGTTGATTTTTGTCTCACCTTCGAGGAAAGTTGTAATGTAACACCGCTGTTCTTGGTTAGGGGGAGGGTTTAACGCCAGCAAACATGTTTAACTCTGCCACATTCTGTATGTGCCTGTCCCAAGTCAGGAGCTTTTAATTCAGTGATTGTCGTTTCTTGCTGTTTATCATATATGTTTTTCGTTGGTTGTTTTTTACATAAATCAGGTGGTTGGTTTTCTTGTTTGAATTGTTGTACATTTGTTATTCTGGTGCCTTTTATGGCTTACTATGTGGTATGAGTTTTGCTCATTGTTGAAGGTTGTAATGTGACCATTAGTTGTTATCTTCTAAGTCATTTGACTCTGGTGGATTGTTGTCTCATTGGCAATCATACCACATCTTCTTATTTTTATACGACCGCAAAAAATTGGTATCAAATCGTCGTCGTCAGCATCTTGGTTTCTGGACAATAACTTTAGTTTAAGTGTATGGATCTCTATGAAATTTTACCAAAAGTTTCAATACCACAAAAGGAAGGTTGGGATTGTTTTTGGGGGTGATGGTCCCAACCGTTTAGGAAAAAGGGGCCAAAACAAGCATTTTTCTAGTTTCAGGACAATTACTTGTGTATAAGTATTTTGATTGCTCTGAAATTGTACCACAAGGTTCAATACCACAAGTAGAAGGTCGGGATTCATTTTGGGAGTAATTGCCCAAACCATTCAGGAATGAGGGGCCAAAAAGGGTCTAAAACAAGCATTTTTCTAGTTTTCAGACAATAACTTGTGTTTAAGTGTATGGATGTCTCTTAATTCTTAATTTGTAACACTTTTTTTTTTTTGGAAGGGGGGGGGTAAACAAAATTTTGTTTTTTTTTTGGGGGGGGGGGGCAATTTTTTTCCTCAAAAGAAAATTTTCTCTAAATATTATTTTTTTTTGGCAGGGGGTAAAAAAAACAAAAATTTGGGGGGGGGGGGGGGGTAAAAAAAATTTTTGGGGGGTAAAAAATTTTTTTTTTTGGGGGGGGAGGGGGACCAATCTTGATGGAACTATCCTATAATGTTGACCACCTGACTTTGGAATGTGCAAGATGGCCACGGTTACCATGGAAACTTAAAATGTAAAAAAAAAAATCAAAATTCTAAATCTTTCATTAATTAAAAATTTCAAAAATTTCAAAATGCTTCAAACTTGAAAAAACTTCATAGTAATGATAAGCACCATTTATAGATGTGGCATTTGGCGTTATAATTTCCAAAATGGCTGCCGTTACCATGGAAACAATGCAAAAAAGGTTAAAATGCTCCGAAAACCTTAAAGTAGCATTTCCTCTCTTAAAATGGTAGGTCAATTCCATTGAAACTTTGATGGTATGTTCCCTCCCATGTACCAATGTAGCATCTGTCATTAAAATTTTTGGAATGGTCTCTGTTACCATGGAAACCAGCAAAAATGTCAAAATTTTCAAAATTCTCCAAACTTAATGAAACTTAATATGATTGTTAACTGGCATCTATAGATGACACTTTTGACTTTGGAACTTTCAAAATGGCCGCCGTTGCCATGGAAACAGAAAAAATGTCAAAAATTTCAAAATGCTCTAAATGTTCTGAAAATTTATAGAAAGACATATAGCAATATATTTATGTGCATTCACTGTTTAAAATGTTTCGAAATGGTTGCCGCTTAGTGGCAATGGGGGACAGGGTGACATCCGCTATTGCTTACAATGGCAATTCTAGTTTTTATTATTATTATGGCACCCTCAACGGAGTTGGGGTGACATATTGTTATTCTACATTTTTTTTTTCTTATTATTTTTCTTCCACTTTGTTTGTCCAGCTTATATCTCGGAATTTTATGAACAAATGTTAATGGAACTATTCAATAATGTTAACCAGGATGTGCAGATTTGCAATCGGGGTATGGCATTTTCAAGATAATCTAGGTATAGTCTGAAATGGTCTCAACAAATGCTCAACCAGTTTCAACTCAGACTCGACCAGTCTCGATCCAGTTTGACCTGTCTTGACCAGTCTTGACCTGTCTCGACCTTCAAGTTTAGTCTAGACTGGTCTGAATCAGCCCATCTTACTCAATTATATATTGATCTTACAAAATTCCTGGTTATTTGGTAGTTTGGTTCATTGCTTTCAAATTTAAGGATTTAATTAATAGGTAAAAAAAAAAGCTAAAATTTTCAGTTTTGACTAAATTCAGATAGATACCTATAAATTGAATATTTAAATTTGGCAGCAATAAACCAAACTACCAATTAACCTGGTATTTTGTAAGATTAAAATATAATTGAGACAGCTGTAGATTTTGATGAAAATCAAAGTTGATTTGAAAAAGTTATAGAAATTGTTAAAGGTGACTATCTGAATTTAGTCCGAACTGAAAATTCCAGCTTTTTTTTACCTACAAATTAAATCATAGAATTTGAAAGAAATAAACCAAACTACCAAACAACTTAGCATTCTGTAAGATCAAAATATAATTGAGATAGCCCTATAGTTTTATGAAAATCCAAGTTGATTTGGAATAGTTATAAAAAAAATTCAAAGGTGACGACCTGAATTTAGTCCGAACTAAAAATTCTAGCTTATTTGACCTATCAATTAAATCCTTAAATTTTACAGCAATACACCAAACTACCAAACAACCTGGCATTGTGTAAGATCAATATATAATTGAGAAAGCTGTAAAGTTTGATGAAAATCCAAGTTGATTTGAAAAAAGTTATAAAAAAATTTAAAGGTGACTATCTGAATTTAGTCCGAACTGAAAATTCTAGCTTTTTTTTTACCTATTAATTAAATCCTTAAATTTGACAGCAATAAATCAAACTACCAAACAACCTGGCATTCTCTAAGCTCAATGCATAATTGAGATAGCTGTAGAGTTTTATGAAAATCCAAGTTGATTTGAAAAAGTTATAGAAATAATTAAAGGTGACTATCTGAATTAAACAAAACTGAAAATTCTAGCTTTTTTTACCTATTAATTAAATCCTTTAATTTGACAGCAATGAACCAAACTACCAAATAACCTGGAATTTTGTAAGATCAATATATAATTAAGTTAGATGGGCTGATTCAGACCAGTCTAGACTAAATTTAAAGGTCAAGACTGGTTGAGACAGGTCGAACAGGTCAAGACTGGTCAAGACAGGTCGAGACTGGTCAAGACTGAGTCAAGACTGGTCGAGACAGGTCAAAACTGAGTTGAGACTGGTCGAGCATTTGTCGAGACCATTTCAGACTATACCAAGATTATCAAGTACTGAATCAGACTTGTTAAGTAAAGTCAAGACCAAAGTCGAGTACAGTTAAGTACAGTAAAGTACTGTCGAGATTATGTCAAGTCTTCTCAAGTAAAATCTGTGCTTGACCTTACAGGTCCAGTAAAGTGATATGCATTAGTGACGCCTTACAGGTCGAGCACAAAACATGGTCTTTTCAGACTCTGAGCAGTTTGTAGTGTTCTTCTTCCTCCTCTTCTTCTTCCGCCGCTTTTAAATTTGAACTTGTCCGCACGCTTTCTCCAAAACCGGTGGTCAGATTAACTTAGGGTTCCACAATATGTTAGAATAACATGTCTAGTGGTGCATTCAGGGTTTTGTTTGTGCAATGGGGTTTATAAAGGGATACTTCGAGGGGCCAAAAGAAAGGAGGGTTTTACTATAGAACCCTATGGGATTTTATTTTTTTTTATTTTCAAAAGATTATAACTTGAAAACAGTTACTGATAGACACAATCTTTATAATTGAAAGTGTTCTAAATGATAAAGCACATTAAATGAAATAAAAGGTTAGTCCCAAGGGGTTACCCCCACCCCCTGCCATTTGAGAAAGTTTTAATATCTTGTAAGTGGTCAAGATCCCCACCCCTAAACCATATATATTCTGGTTTGTCATGATAAAGCACATCAAGTGAAATACAAGGTTAGACCCCAGGGGTCACCCCCACCCCCTGCCATTTTAGAAAGTTCTAATATCTTGTAAGTGGTCAAGATCCCCACCCCTAAACCATATATATTCTGGTTTGTCATGCCAAGATGATTTGAATGATAAACAGGGTTAGTCCCCAGGAGTCATCCCGACCCCCTGACGTTTGAGAAAGTTCTAATATCTTGTAAGTGGTCAGGATCCCCACCCCTAAACCATATATATTCCTGTTTGTCATGTCATGAAGATTTGAATGATATATAGGAGAGGTTCCCAGGGGTTCCCCTCACCCCCAATGTTTTAATATCTTGTAAATGGTGGAGATCCCCACCCCTAAACCATATATAATCCTGTTCGTCGTTTCCCGAAGATTTGAATGACATACAGGGTCAGTCCCTAGGCTTCACTAATGTATATCACTTTACTGGACCAAACTAATTTGTACTGGGTTTTGCCCAATGTCAGGCGACCCTGGGAAT